CAATTATTTCTATAAATAGCGGGTATCTGTAGTAATAGTCAGTGTTTACAATTACTTCTATAAATAGCGGGTATCTGTAGTAATAGCCAATGTTTACAATTACTTCTACAAATAGTGGGTATCTGTAGTAATAGTGAGTGTTTACAATGATTTCTATAAATAGTGGGTATCTGTAGTAATAGTCAGTGTTTACAATTACTTCTATAAATAGCGGGTATCTGTAGTAATAGCCAATGTTTACAATTACTTCTACAAATAGTGGGTATCTGTAGTAATAGTCAGTGTTTACAATTATTTCTATAAATAGTGGGTATCTGTAGTAATAGTCAGTGTTTACAATTATTTCTATAAATAGCGGGTATCTGTAGTAATAGCCAATGTTTACAATTACTTCTACAAATAGCGGGTATCTGTAGTAATAGTCACTGTTTACAATTATTTCTATAAATAACGGGTATCTGTAGTAATAGTCAGTGTTTACAATTATTTCTATAAATAACGGGTATCTGTAGTAATAGTCAGTGTTTACAATTACTTCTATAAATAGCGAATATCTGTAGTAATAGTCAGTGTTTACAATTACTTCTATAAATAGCGGGTATCTGTATTAATAGTGAGTGTTTACGATTTCTTCTATAAATAGCGGGTATCTGTAGTAATAGTGTTTGCAATTTCTTCTATAAACAGCGTATTACTGTAGTAATAGTGTTTGCAATTACTTCTATAAATAGCGGGTACCTGTCGTAATAGCCAATGTTTACAATTACTTCTACAAATAGCGGGTATCTGTAGTAATAGTCAGTGTTTACAATTATTTCTATAAATAGCCGGTATCTGTAGTAATAGTCAGTGTTTACAATTACTTCTATAAATAGCGAATATCTGTAGTAATAGTCAGTGTTTACAATTACTTCTATAAATAGCGGGTATCTGTAGTAATAGTCAGTGTTTACAATTATTTCTATAAATAGCGGGTATCTGTAGTAATAGTGAGTGTTTACGATTTCTTCTATAAATAGCGGGTATCTGTAGTAATAGTGTTTGCAATTACTTATATAAACAGCGTATTACTGTAGTAATAGTGTTTGCAATTTCTTCTATAAACAGCGTATTACTGTAGTAATAGTGTTTGCAATTACTTCTATAAATATCGGGTATCTGTAGTAATAGTTAGTGTTTACAATTAGTTATATAAATAGCGGTACCTGTAGTAATAGTCAGTGTTTACAATTACTTCTATTAATAGCGGGTATCTGTAGTAATAGGATATGTTTACACTTACTTTTACAAATAGCAGGTATCTGTAGTAATAGACAGTGTTTAGAATTACTTCTTTCAATTGCGTATATCTGTAGTAATAATCAGGGTATACAATTACATTTATAAATAGCAGATATCTTTAGTAATAGTCAGAGTATACAATTACATTTATAAATAGCAGATATCTGTAGTAATAGTCAGAGTATACAATTACATTTATAAATAGCGGATATCTGTAGTAATAGTCAGAGTATACAATTATTTCTACAAATAGCGGGTATCTGTAGTAATAGTCAGTGTTTACAATTACTTGTATAAATAGCGGATATCTGTAGTAACAGTTAATATTTACATTTATTTCTACAAACAGTGGGCATGTGTAGTAATAGTTTTTATATTTGTTTCTATAAACAGGGAGTATCGGTAAGAAAAAAAAAAACAACCTTTTTCTACAGGTATATGTATATAAGTAACGGATGTTTTAGTACCAGATATTGTTTAGATTATAATCACAAAGAAAAGGTGTATAGTATAGCCATTCTTCACATATTGGTATTAAAACATTAACTGATGTTATCGTGATCCGTTAGAGTCAGGTACACTGATGTTATCGTGATCCGTCACAGTTAACTTCAGAGAAGAGCACTTTTTATTTTATATGCTAAACATCACATAAATGAGGGTCCTGTATTTACATAAGGTCTCTATCAGGATCATGTCCATTCATGTTCAGAAGTTAGTATTTCTTCTGGCACACACTTTGCTTCACTTGGAATATAGACAGTCTTAACATTACACAGATATTTCGGCAATATATTAAGTATTAATACCCTAATAATACACCACAGAAATTACATGGTTAAACAAATCTAGCAGCTGTACTTATAATACATATTTCTAAGGGAGATGAAGTTCGACTCATTTCCATCATGTATGATATAGCTTACAGGACTATGTCGTAAGGTGGCTGTATGTTAGCAATATTGTGTAAGAGTCTATCATAAGGTAGTTGTATGTTAGCACAATTGTGTAGGAGTCTGTTGTAGGGTGGTTGCATGTTAGCAGAATTGTGTAGGATTCTGTCAGAGTGACTGGATGTTAGCACAATTGTGTAGGATTCTGTCATAGAGTGACTGGATGTTAGCACAATTGTGTAGGATTCTGTTGTAGGGTGGTTGTATGTTAGCACAATTGCATAGGAGTCTGTTGTAGGGTGGTTGTATGTTAGCACAATTATGTAGTAGTCTGTTGTAGGGTGGTTGTATGTTAG